CATACAAAAAAAAAAAAGATAACCCGTGTGAAAATTACGGATTCACATTTGACCTACAGAAAGCGCTTCCGTATCCAAAACTTTCTGTTTCGGTAGCTTACTATAAGCGCAACATGTATGTATACAATTTAGGGTTTCATAATTTCCACAATGGAAATGCTAAAATGTATGCATGGGATGAAACAATCGCCTCAAGAGGATCACAGGAAGTTGCGTCCTGCATCTTAAAGCACATTCGGGACATTACCACTCAAAAGCATATAATAGCTTACAGTGATGCCTGCTCAGGACAAAATCGAAACATTAACATAGCTTTAATATGGTTAAATATTGTTCAGTCATCTGATAATAATGTTGAAACAATTGATCATAAATTTATGGTATCCGGCCATTCTTTTTTGCCAAATGATCGCGATTTTGGTTTGATAGAAACTAAAATTAAAAAATCGAATTATTTATACGTTCCTGAGCATTATTATAATTTAATAAAATCATGTAAGATGAGAAACCCATTTTCGGTAGTACAAATGGATCTAAAGATTTTATTTCTACAAGACAACTAAAAGAATCAACGAATAATAGAAAGAAAAATATCAATGGAGAAGCTGTGCCTTGGTTAAAAATACAATGGATCAGATTTCAAAAAAATGCCCCATATAAGATATTTTATAAAATTTCCTTGGATAACAACTCCGAGTTCAAAGTATTAGACCTCTCACCTAAAAAAGGAAGACCTAAAATATACGGAAATATTGATTTACTTCCACTATACACAACCACTAGACCAATAACAAAAGAAAAACGTAAAGATWTGATGGATCTACTACCCTATATTCCACCAATTTTTCACAAACACTTTATTTCCCWAAATACTAATGAATAATTTACTTAGTYACAATGAAATGAGTTTGAATAAAATGTTAATTACTAATAAAATTGTTTCATTGGTGGTATAAGTCATTTATAAAGTCATGCARTTAATTTTGAAAGTGGTACAAGTCATTTAAACCTTTCAAAACCATATTTTCTTTTAAAAATGGCTATAAATTTCACAATCATAATAAGTACTTGTTTGTTGGGACTACTTTACTTTCGAAAAATCATAATTCATAATGAAAGAATATTTTTTAATCCTTTAAAATGCAAAACTCTAAATATCTCGAAACAAAAAAAAATATGACTTATACCACTCTCAAAATCATGGGCTCATTTAGTCTGGATATTTATGGATCCACAATGTGGTAAAAATAAAGGCATAAAAGTCTCAAGAAATTGTATGATATGAGATTATCTTCAGACTCTGAGTCATTTTTGGTGTCGACTCCTAAGTTATGCACCACAATTTTTTACCAACTCTTATTATACATTTTTGTTTATAAGAAGTGTTCTTATAATAATTCTGTTCTCATGGTGCGCCAAACATTCTCGTCGCTTTTGACGATTACAATAATAATAGATATGGTACTTCCCATACTGAAACTTGATTTTAAGCGGTATAATAACTTCTATTTATCCACTGATCGATTAACACTTCACTGCCTACATTTTCACTAATTTTAATACAAATCTTTATTATCTTCTTAATAAGAGGCTTCTGAGTCAACACAAACGTGCCAAACTTATTCCAATTTTCCATATGCTTGTTATAAGCCTCGCTGGGATGACCTTTCTTTTGTTTTTTTTTTCGGTTTCGGCTCATTTTTGGAGTGCTATTTGCTAGGCGGTTCCGATATCATAATCATAAATTGCCGTCTCATGCCCTTGGTGAAAATGGGGTTCTCAGCTATGTTATCAAGTCCTTTACTCGCAGTTGTTTTTGCAACATATTCAAGTTTTTCGTTACGTGTTAGCATTGGCATGCTTCATACCCAAAACACTAACCAAACTTGAACTATAGTATATAAGACATGTTGAGATTATCTGCTCTCTGACACTATCCAAAAGCCAAACTTTAACGGGCATAAAAAATGTTTAATAATCTAGTAAAACATTTTTTTATCGATTCCATAATAAATGAGGCAAAGTGTAGGAAGTCTATGAAGTTTGAAATATATTTTCGTAATTATTTTTTTAAGAGAGCACCGGCGACAATCCATTATAATACCTTGGAATCTTCAGAAAAACTGAGAGAATGAACTGCGTGGATAAGGTGACCCATGGTCGAAATTAGCATCGAAATTCTTATAAGGTCCTGCTTTTAATTTAATACTGGCTGAAAGGTTTTAATAATGGCCGTGAGGTATTGCAATTTGTATTAAGTTCAGTCTCACATAAGAAAAGATGATGCTTTATATCTTTCCAAATGATTTTTCTTGATTTAATAATTTATATTTCCAAAAATTAATCAAGCGCAAGTATCGTGTATTTAATTTAATTATTTCAAATAATGAATTAAAAAAAAAAATTACTTAAAATGAATAAAATATTTATAAACTATAATCCGAAGAAAACTTCGCAAAATAAGCCATTGAGCTTTAAAAGCTTGTAAAAAACTTGAAGATTTCCGATCGTCTATTTATAATGTCCATCCTTTGAGAAGCAAAACAATTTTCTCAGCTCCACCAGAAGTAAATGGCCAATAAACAACGTCACTTCTGTGCTGTTACTACCTAATTTTTTGGAGTAATTGCGTAATGGACACTTAGATAGTAATCTTACTTTCCTTTTACACACGCAATGCTGAGCACATGGATGATTTCAATGTTGCCGCACACTGCAAGATTTTCCCAGCTGTCGGAAGCACTCACGAAAATTCTTATTCAACACTTGTAGTATTGCTGATATTATATAATATATGCTACCGACTGCTGCATACCACAGCAGATGAGGAGTCGGTCCGTCCTGAAACAGCCGCGCGTTCAAAAAATTTAACGAATAGTAAATGTTGCCGTTCTTGCAACAAGTGCCTTCATTTCTATCCACTCTTGTTGGTGATACGTGGTTTCAACCAAATAGACTGTCTGAAAGCTTGAACGAGCAGTGAAGCAGTTCGCAAGCAGGCATAATAATTCGGCATGGACGTGAGTAGAATTGAGATGGAAAAAGCACCGCCGATGGGTGCTTGAGCGTTCGCCTGGATGGTGAGCTAACTATGTACATATGTATGTATCTTGTTTATGAGGCTTTCACTTTCAATTTCCATAATTTTTTTTGTTTTTACATTAAGGATATGTGCTGATTCTTGCATAAAAATATTGAATTACAATTAAGTGGAAAATAATTTGCAGAGTCAGAGCTAAATTTATTATTTATTATCTTCAAATTGATATGGGGTGGGAAGTTAAACGGCAAGTAGCGTATATAAATTATGAGAATGTTCGAAGTATTCTTTAAAATCCTCAAACTCTCTTTGTAAATGTCACAACCTTGTTGCTTTTACTCTTCTTTTTGTCTTGTTCTGCATTCGTATTTTTGTTGCTTTTGTTTTATGCTCATTTTTCTCTCAGTTATATACAACATTGACAGCCGGCAACGTGCGGTTAATTTTTTATGGGGTATTAAAGCGCCACAGCAAGACTTCTAGAACGCGGCGCCGTCATGTCAATGGAACCGCCTCGAGCTCCGGGCAACTTTTGCCGGTTGACACTGACACTGCTGGTACTCGGTTATCCTTGCTTTCGCCTTTTGACCCAACTTCAGTGGAAGTCGGTTAGCATTAAAAATAGCATCAACGTGACTGACTGACAGTAAATGACAAATATCAATTATTTAAAAGTCAGCAACAACAACAACTATAACAGTTTGAACAACATGCAAAACGCAGCACGAAAGGCCAATATACCGAAATAAATGTAAGGGAATGATATGGTAGAGTAGATTTTTAATATTTTACTTATTATATTTTAAGAGGATGTTGTCTTGCGTATTTTTTTCCTAGACTTTTTAATTGATTACTTTTCTCTACTGTACTCATTACCATTTTGTATTTTTATTCTATTTTTAGATGTCAATTTTAATTGAGATAACATCGGTTGCTTAACTCCTAAATGCCACTCTAACTTTCGATGATACGTGGTACACTGCCTCTGATTTGGAGATGAGCTTGAAGTGAGTGAACTTATTCAGGAAATGTCTGGTATTAATTTCATATATTTTAAGAAGTAGCTGAATTAGTATCGTAAAGTGTCGTGGCAGGATAAAAAGGCACAAAACTCCAAGTGCCTTCATGTAAATATATACTGGAGTCATAATTAAAAAACCGGGCGCACAAAATGAAAAAGAATGCAATATTGTTACATAATAGACTTCTTAAGATCTTCTTTGTATCCTTTTATACTTAATAATAAACATACATTTGTCTCTTTCTAGTATTCTCGAAATATAGTATAATAATTATATTAYCTACAACGAAATACCTAGAGATCTAAAATCCAAAAACTTGTCTCTTGGGTTCGATTCCTATATGAATCAAAATTAAAAACCGAATTTTCAAATAGTTATTGAACATTTTCAAATGATCAATGATTCAATGAGCTCCTGTGATTCTGTCAATAAAAAAATATAAAATTTGGCCAAACATCGATAGAGGTAGAAGCACAATAATTAGGGGAACAAAACTTAATGCCTAAGTAATAAATAATTATCGAGCTATATCCACAGAAAATGTTTCCTTTAGATTTCGCCTAAGAAACATTTGGAGGCGTACTCTCGAAGCACTGCAGCCACGTCATTTCATACTTCTGGTATTAATATTATATGGTATARGCATGTAGTCCAAAAAACTTATTTATTAGCTCTTTCGCATTTATGTATACAGTTTCGTTTTCCTTGTTTTTCTGTTTTTGCTGTTGTGTCTTCTCCCATATTAATTTAATGCATTTTGCAGCAAAATCGTGTCAAGAATAGCAGCAGCAGCATCATCTCCACATCGAGCAGCAAAGCATACTAGTGTGTTTTGTCTGGCGGCTGGTCGAAGTGGTCGATCTGTTTATGTAACTGCAATGGCGGCATCTTGCAACAAATACGCCGCAGCTTCAAAACAAACGACTGCAAGGGCGAAAGCGTTCGCTGCCGCATCTGCAATATGCAGCCGTGTTCGTCGCAGCAAGACTTACGTGCGTATTAGCGTGCCGTTTACAATGACGTGCCCTATGATGGCACACTCTATACGTGGATGCCACRGTACGGCTACATGGAGCCATGCGCGTTAGCATGCAGGTGAGTGTGGTTATGCAATAACAAACAATCATATGTAGTATATGCTACTCACTGCTCACTAATCGTGCAACAAACATTTACGGTTGGCGTCGCCATCGGGAGGTATTCACCATTCTTGTCCTATTTTCTGTCTAGGAAGGCCTTTTCTTTCTTCTTGCTCTGCATCGGAATTGAATGTCAGTTACCGGAAATTTATGAGTACGTTTGACAAGCGACATTCGTGAAAATGTGCAAGGTATTTACGAGTTTGGTACAATCGTAAACAATTCACCGCTTCAACAAAAGCTTACACAAATTATGGCACTCGCACAAACCTTGATGTGCTTTGTTAAATTATGCGGCAGGAATATGGTTGGGTTTCGGTGACGTTCTCGTCTAACCTGCTGCGTTCACCTTTAGGGCCGGCTTCGGGTTTTCATTGTTATTTAAAGCAATTTGTTTACCAATTGGATACGAATAACAAAGTTTCTATAATAATGCGATAGGGATGTTGACTCAATCATAGAAGAGGTTTTAAGGTTATAGAATTACAAATGRATGATGGAAATTAATTTATGTATTGTATTTCGTAAGAGTATTTAAATTGAAAATATTAGTTACATAACCCCAACTATTATAGTACTTTGAAAAAACCTTAACATATCTGAAGATATTTTTTCAATTCTCTTAATATTCTCTCAATCGTTTCAGCGAAGCGGATGTGATTAAAAAATATACAGATATTTCGTATGTGGTAGAGGTGAGCAGCTCCTGTTCGCAGCCCGTTTAGAATTGGGAGATAGTGGTAAGTCCAAGTATAGAAAACCCAATAAAAATGCAAACGTTATAGTACATAGTAAACAGCTAAACACATTCATACATATCTCTCTAATATTAGGTTGTCAAAAAAGTATTGCGGTATTTTCGCTAGTTGGCGCTGAGAGCTCGTATGTAGTTCTAGCTTTATTCGTCGAATCGGGTTATGCTATACCTTTTTGGAAAGCATACTTCACGCGCTAATACGTGTTTGATTGATTGTCGTTTCTTCCAAGTAGTTCGTGAGTTATAGCGTCGCAAACATGGAGCAAAATAAAGAGAAAATACGGCATATTTTACAGTACTACTACGATAAAGGCAAAAATGCATCAAAAGCCGCCAATAAAATTTGCGCAGTTTATGGACCCGATACAGTTTCTATTTCCACCGCACAACGATGGTTTCAACGTTTTCGTTCTGGTGTAGAGGTAGTCGAAGATGCGCCACGCTCCGGAAGGCCAGTCGTCGAAAATTGCGCAAAATCGCTGAATTGGTCGAAAGAGACCGGCATAGTAACAGCCGTAGCATCGGTCAAGAGCTGGGCATGAGTCATCAAAATAAAAATTTTATGAACAAYTGAAAATTCAATAAAAAAAAACCGCAAGACTTTTTTGACAACCTAATATAAAACAAATTGAAACAAATGGCTCTGTCATGCAATCGCTAAGTGTGCCAAAGTGACTACGTTTACGAAAATGTCGCGACAATAACGTGAATAAGCAGACAAACAACTTTGAATGTGTCGCAATATTTCGACTAAATTCGAGAYGTGAGAAATTGGGCGGCACACAGCACATGTATTAGTAAGAATAATCTTGGCAAACAGACTTACTGGATTCGGTGACATATGGTATTTCAGCCCTTTTTAACAATTATATGGAATTATTTACGCTGTTAGTGAAAGTAGCCAAAGGATAAGGAAAACTACTTAGGTAATAAATTTACTCAAACCGCGTTTTGACTTCTCGAATGACACTCCAATKTGACACGCTCAATTCGTTCACGTTAAGTGGGATTCATATATTTGAACTCATATCAATTCAAGACTCGCGTGAGGAAGTTCTGTTTGTAATTCATCTGCCGCACACCTATCTATTCCTATTACCCATACTCGTGGATTGATTACCCACTGCTGATAAAAGTTCGAATACAAATTTTCAATGTCAAATTTATTTCGTTTTCACTTTTTATTTTCGATTCTTATCACTACCCGTGGCCCTGACTTGCCAGTCTATATATTTGCACTTCCTACGTAGTTACTTAACGGCGTGCACCTTATGACATGTCGTCGATTTGTGTTGAATAACAAATAACTATGAAATTTCAAGTTTCACCCCACTTTTACTCGGATATGTTTCTGACGGTTTTCTGAGTGCTTAACATATGTATATAGTAGCATGTTGCACTTTTAGTGAGCATACAGGTTATGTTTATGTGACGTATGGACATATGGTTATCTAAGAGTTGAAGTTGTGATTTATCACGTAATTTTTTTTTTTTTTGGCTAGGCTACATATTTGTGATGTAATCATTTGGAAGTGAATAAATTGGCAATAGCTGTTTTCAATATCAATATATTCCTGTATGCATATGACATGTTATTAAATCGTAAAACAGAATATACATTAGGGTGATTCAAAAAAAATTATTTTTTTCTATGGACCTCCGAAAAATAGGCTCCTGAACATCTCTAAGGAAGCCTCTCCAAGAATGAGTTCTTAATTGCAACGGGAAGGTCGCCCTACTTACAATTTTCTATTTTTTCTTATTATCATATAGAAAACTTTATATGTCGCTTGCAACTATTTGAAAAAAAAAGCTTGTTCCTTAGATTTTGTAGGARATTGAATGCTCCACCTTAGAGGTGTCTAGGAACCTATTTTTCAGAGTACCAAACGAAAAAAAGACATTTTTTTTTGATCTCCCTAATATACATATATGCAGATACCCAGGTATATCAAGAAGTGATATTATWTATATATTTTTATACTCTCGCAACAAAGTTGCTAAAGAGAGTATTATAGATTTGTTCACATAACGGTTGTTTGTAAGTCCTAAAACTAAAAGAGTCAGATATAGGGTTATATATACCAAAGTGATCAGGGTGACGAGTAAAGTTGAAATTCGGATGTCTGTCTGTCCGTCCGTCCGTCTATCCGTCCGTCCGTCTGTCCGTCTATCCGTCCGTCCGTGCAAACTGTAACTTGAGTAAAAATTGAGAGATCATGATGAAACTTGGTACACGTATTTCTTGGCTCCATAAAAAGGTCAAGTTCAAAGATGGGCAAAATCGGCCTACTGCCACGCCCACAAAATGGCGGAAACCGAAAACCTATAAAGTGTCATAACAAAGCCATAAATAAAGGTATTAAAATGAAATGTGGCACAAAGGATTGCATTAGKGAGGGGCATATTTGAACGTAATTTTTTTGGAAAAGTGGGCGTGGCCCCGCCCCCTWMTAACTTTTTTGTACATATCTCGAAAACTACTATAGCTATGTCAACCAAACCATACAGAGTCGTTTCCTTCAGACATTTCTATATACAGTTCAAAAATGGAAGATATCGGATAATAACCACGCCTACCTCCCATACAAAGGTTATGTTGAAAATCCCTAAAAGTGCGTTAACCGACTAAGAAAAGGCGTCAGAGTTACTAAATTTTACAGAAGAAATGGCAGAAGGAAGCTGCATCCAGACTATTTAAAGAATTAAAAGACAGTAATTAGCTAATAAATAGTACACCTGGTAAATTGCGATGTACACAGACCAAATTTCTATGAATACTTATATATGCAATTATGTACGTCAATAGTTAAGGATAAGTGTCATTTACAAAGCATACTAAAAATGGTCGCAAGCATTGAGAAATCTTTTTCAAATCTTCATTTATTAATTTCAACTGTGAAATAAGCAACAAATATTATTCGACTGTAAGTCATCTAAAATTGATTCCACTATAAATCAMTAATTTCTCCTGCCAAACACATTATAATTTAATTATACGCCACGTATAACCATTATTGCCCACAGTGGTCATATACTACATATTTATATGTAAATGCTTTCATATAAGCTTCGCACGCAAATATTGTATTTAAAGTTCTGATGCATTCAAATTTAATTCTTTGTGATTAAAGGAATAAGGGTCGGGCGTTAAAGAGCTAAAATGTGACACGCAATATGCGCAGGAATCTGAAGGGCAAAAATACCTATAAATAAACACTTATGTAATTGAATAGCAGCCATAAAATGTTGAAAAAGTTCATGAATATTTCATACATATATTATAAATAATTTTCTGCATTAAAAATTTCAAAGCGCTTGTTCTTTATGCTTGCGTGCTGGTCGCTACACCAGATGTTTAGATGTTAGCCAATGCTTTACGTTGCATGACATAGTAAACTATGCAAAGCGTGCTTGAATAAATTTCTCAAATATATTACTTACATGTATACATAGAAACAGCTTTTCTCTCAGTTTAGAAATATTATACAGTTTAATATGTTTTATATTTGTTCATAAATACTTCTCACATACTATTTTCGGTAACTGCCACATTTGTATCTACATGTCTTATATCTACTTGACCAACAATAGAAATCGATTTTTGGTATGTTCAACATTTACATCTCGCTTTCTCGCATTTTTACGCAAATTGTCAATTCTCTTCACGTATTTTTAATTTTTTTTTTGCTCCGTCAATAAGTTTGCCTTGGATTTCGTTTTTGAGAGCTTCGTCTCTTTGCAGCCTTTTACTGTTCTAATAAAAGGGTTGAAAGTCAAGTCAACTTGTTAACAATAATGTCTTAGACTTCACTTTATATAATGTATATTGTAATTATTTGGATTATATATGCATATATTTTGGTTTTGAGATGCATCAGTTATACGACTCATTGAACACAAAAAGCCGAATGAGTGAAACAAGGCGTAGACCTTTTCAGAGATCTCAGTGGACTTCAAGAAGGTCATCTGCGAAGATCAGCCATTACTTTCGGTACTATAACATTTTGTTCTATTTATGAGATTAAGTTACCATTTAAATGCTTCCGTATGCAAAGGAAAAGCAGTTCTGTCATAAATATGTGCCTTCTATTTGTATGCATATTATTCTTACAAGCACTATAAAAGCAGCGGATATCCATATGTGTTGTAGAGTGCACTTAATCTTGTGAACGAAAAATTAGTTGTTTAGTGTTCTCTGCTTCAGCTATCTTGCTCATATTACAATCGAAGTAGAACTTAACCGATGTTATGTCGCGTTGATTTCCATAACCGCTACCTATATATGCGGGCGAAGTAATGTTCGTTCATATTCCTCTGAACGTTCTTCACAGCAGTAAATTTATTCAGCGCAATTTCTTGCAATTTGAATCACGAGATTGTCAAGCGTAAGTTCAATGCGTCGAAATCTCAAGTTTATTTGCAGAATTCATGCAGTCTTACKAAGATATTTTTGAAGATATTTGTTTAATTAACTTGCATGATTTTTATACACAATTTTAATGCTATTGAGCTTARATTTGAAGCCGATAAGCATTTCAAACTAAAAACTCTCAAACATCAATCCACCAAATATTATAAATATACTTGTTGTTGACCAATGATAATGTATTTGGAATCATTTACGTAACTGTGCTGTCTTCTAAGTTATATTTCTTGTATAACTTTTACATAAAAACAAATAGCGGCTCTGCTCTTATCCTCAATCAAGTTCTAATAATGCTGTAAATGAAAAATTAATTAAGTTTCCACATTACTTACCAAGAAGACAGATTTGATGTTTATATATAAACTTCTTGGAGAAGGTAGCAACTGTTTTCAAATTTATGTTGTATATAAARCAAAGACAAAACTTTATTTTCAATYAGTTTTGGCGCAATATTATCTCAACTTATTTTATCGATAGCATAATATTATCATAATTTTGTAAAACTTTTTCATATGCAAACGTTTACAAATCGCGTCAGCTTCTTTTTTCTATCAATTATCCCATGACATTTATTCTATAAAAATTTTTAGATGCGCTCAAAAAAAATTTGGAACCATACGCTTTCTTCTCTTTGCCTCTTCAGTTTGTAATTAGTTTCTTACATTATAATTTGTTTACTTAAAAATTTCTGAGTACCACACCATTCCAAAACTCAATATTTTTGCCTGGTCTATCATCATAAAATCTCTTATAAAACTCATCACTGCATCAAACTTAAAATTACTCTAGGGGTATTATAGTGTCATATCTCAACAATCATATGGGGCTATCAATATTTTTTCATCCTTATTTAACAGATAGACTATATATTGATTTAAAATCTGCTTAGCGTATGCTTCCCTAGCACATTGCTAGTAACTACCTTGGTGGTRCTTCACACGCAGTAGTCTCAAGTGTGTGTAGAGGATGCAACTGCATATAGTTACCTACAAATCAGCCGACGTTTTTACATAATTRCCTTCACATTGTTCCCACTCTCTTCTGCTCTGCGTGGAATACGTGGCCTATCTTCTCCTGCGTCTTCYTCAATATTTGGTAACACAAATGTTGACATTTTCGTTTTACTATCTTTCTTCACGTCCCATCTGCGACGCAGCCACTTAAGTACATAAATTGCGCAATGACTTTGCGTGTCTCTATGTGGCCTGTGGCATCCGCCGTGCTTGAGTTTTTAAGTCTGCTACTTGGCGCCATTACCGCTCACGCGCTCTGCTGCGTCACTTTAACTTTGTCTGTCGTTCTCGTGTGTCTCTGTGCTTTTAGTTTTCTATCGATTGCTCACTTTTATTGCTATGAATGGTTGTTGGTGGTTTTATCTTACCACCCATTTAAAATACCTTGAATCCTTACTTTCATATAAACACATTACAAATTTCTTATACAAGTATGTATAGTATTTCWTTCATTTCATTTATGCTTCTTCCACCAACGGTTATTTTGTATGAATTCGTCTTTCTCGTGTTCTTCGACCGCAGGCTACAAGATGTCTCAAGGGGTGTGTCGAAATCGTGTCACTGAGGACTAATGCGCAGCAGCCCTCAACGGCCGGAATCATCATTCTACAACACGCACACCTGCGCACCACGGTGAGTTTGGCAGCGTTTACACGCCATTGGCTACATTAGCTTTTATCTTTTACGTCTGTTACCTGCTTATGATTTCGCTTGTTTACTATCATTTTTATTGTTGCAATTTTTTGTCAAAACCTAGTTTTAGTGGTCGTTCGAAAAAGCTTACAGAGCCTGAAGAAAATTAAACGCTTTATTAGTGAAAAGTTGAGTTTCAGGAGCAATTAAATTTCAGCATCAAGCGTGGGTAGAACTAGTTGAATATACATATGTACATAGTTACTATAACATTAGTTACTATTACGGGTTAACAACAAATGAAATGACCATAAAAAAAATATATTTTTTCTACGGTACCTATATTGAAGTTTGCTCCTAAATTGTTGAATGATTTGTTTCTCTAAAATGCACAATACCAATGCCCCCTACCTCATATACGAGTATAAGGACATTAAAAACCATAGGGAGTTTTTTCTAACCTAATTTGTATCCGTTTTTGTACAAAAGCATTTAACCGCTTCTTTTTCTGTATCAACAAAAACTACCCTATAAGAGACTTAGCTATCGCTGTGTATTAATTAAATTTTCTTTTCCTCCTAAATACGTACATATATGGACTCTCTTCAAGAAAAAATTAACTATTTACCGTTTCCATTTCGCTTCAGGTGGATTACCGATGATTGGCGTCCATGCAGCCGTCTCTGTGGACCTGACTACCTCAGCGCTTAGTGATGTCTGCGGAAGAGAATAATGGCATCAAGGCAACGGTAAGCGCAAATTGAGTCATAAAATAGCTATAATGTGGCAAGATAGAAAAAGAGCAACATTGAAGAATAACCGAATTTGCGATGTTGAAGTAAAAATGTACAACAACAACAACAAATTTTAAATGTTTCGTAGCCACGTACTGTTATTCATTTCATGTACTCTACTCACCGCGCACACACACATTTTTTACACTGCACTGATTTAATGTTTTTCAACTTTCCATTTCGAGCGTTTTGAAATATATTTAAAAAAATGCTTCCAGCTCTGCAGTGTGCGCTGGAACGCGTCAGCTATTATATTCATAATTGCTACTGAAGGTTATCCCACTCACATCTTCCTTTCGTTTTGTTGTTGATATGCGTCAAATTACCGTTAACGAAATTCTTTCATACTTTTTTAATAATATACTTGCTTTATTTTTCCTTTCATCGTGTTCATCATTACAGGTACTGAACGTGTCGAGCGCCGAAAACAGCCAGCTTTGCATGCTTGAGAAGTGCCCGAAAGGGAAGATGGAAGAGTGACATGGAGTGAGTATGCTCAGTTAGCTTAAAATGTAGTGAGCTGGTGCTTCTGTGGTAGAGTTCAAAGAATTGAAACTGGCATTGCTCATGCTTTTGATTCCACTTTTCTTCTTGTTTCGTTCTTTGGACATTTTCGCAGTTTACCCTTTTGTTAGTTTTCACATGGTTAAGAGTTAAGCTTTTCCTTTATGTGTTCATAGTTTTAATTTTCGATTGTTTACACTTTAGTTAGTGTGAAGCTCTCGTTTTTCACATCATTTCCGCTTATATGATTATGTGGCCTGTCTAATTATGGTTTAAAAACGGGATATTATGTGCATACTTTTACCCACGTAGAGTGTATGGTTTTCGATATTCATTAATAATACAGTACGATTCATTTTGCATATGGGAAGATCATAAAAAGCTCCTAAAATTTCGTCAAATGGTTTGATATTAGCAAAGTAATCGCTTAGACAAGAAACATGAGATCCGAAATCTCGACAAAATTTTACTTGCTCCATTGTGAATAATTTCGCCAACATGGGTGAAGGCTAGAACCGTCGGGATATACGTATCAGCAAAGTATGGTCACAACGCTAATTGCCTCTCAGTAATTAAGTTGAAAGTGAAAGGCAATCCGTCTTTTGACAATCTTCTGCATTAGCATGTCAGGAGCGTTAACTGAGTATCTTATTAAGAACGAGACTTTCTTGGCAAAAGCACACATTTTATCGTCTCTCATAAATACTATCGTCTAATTACAATGTTAGAAATTACCATTTAATCAATTTATTAAATYTAATTGTCTCTTCACCTTAGGAGATTTTTAAATTTCGGATAAATTAAAGGTCAGCTTAATGTAGTAGATAAACTGGCATATTATCTGTTTTACTTGTAAAATTATAATTTAATAACCGTCATCCAAGTTCTAAGTTAAGGTTTTTCATTTTAGTGCTCCGTGTGTGTTTTTCATCTTAGTGATCCCATAAGAGATAGCCTGCGCGACTTTTTTTCCGAAGGGTCAACAGAAATATTTTATTTMAAAAATTTCAGAATTTCTGTTTCTTTGCTCCTAATATTTTATTAAAATATTTAATCTTTTATATGACAAGAAAATTGTTAAAGTAAACCTTTCTTTTTTTACCCGAAGAAACCAATGTATCCCCTTAAAACAACTCTCCTAGGCCACTTGCAATCGGCAAGTAGGTAGCAGTTCTCGTCCGACATCCTGAGGTGAGGCTGAAAGTGCTTATGTTAAATGTTTACCAGTGTCTTATGCCGTAATTGCATTTGAGCAGAAATGCAACTGAAAAGTCACGAAAAGCAACAACAAAATCAACATCTTCCTAAATACACTGTCAACCTTGTACCCTAGCAGACTCCATGTCGCACTTGTTAAAATGCAGCGACTTGTTGCCTTGTYTCATATTCTTTTAATCCAYCTTCCTACATACATACTTATATAKTATATAYACATTATCTAAGTAGTCGCAACCCGTGCCTACAATGCCACTAAGCTTTTCTGTTTTGCTGCACAAGTGCGTAGCCGTCTGAGTAGACCACATTTGTTGAGATTAACTGAAGTTAGCTGCTTGAAGGGGTTGACGACGAAAGCGAAACCATAACCAACTTTATTAAAATCTTCTAAAATCCGTCATGTGCACATGACAGGAAGTGGTTCAAAATGTTTATGTTCATAATGTTTTTACACAAGAGAACGATATATGTACATATGTATATGCAGTCAAGGCGGTTTATACCACATCGCATGTGCGTCGCCAAAGTCGGTAGACTACTGTGTCTAAAAAACTCTAACGGCACACCCTTTTCAGATCCTCATTGCGATGGTTTGTGACGACTTAATGCATGCTCATCTGTTGGYAGACACAGGAGTAACGAAAAAAACAAATATTTGCATATATAATAWGGTTTACCACATGAGCATAAGTGAATCACTTTACGTACAGGGGAGAAGTCTTGATTAAATTCAATATGGTGAAAAGTGCTGTCAACTGTAAAGTTTTAAAATAAAAAATTTCTTTGTTAAACGTTTTTCCGCTAGATATTTAGTAATCCACAAATGCCACACCTTTGTTTCATTTTGATATAATATTGAACATATTTATTTATTTTGGTACAACTCATTGTACATAAAGTTCAGAGTCGTGAATGTATGGTATTGCCAAATGAAGTTCTTTAGAATTATATATGTACATATAGAAATCGCCCGACATTAGTAAATCTTCGGCCGCAATTAAGAGTAGATTAAAGGTGTAAGGTCTTTTAAGTTTATAGAGACGAAGTCTGCTTAGAAGTCGAAGTTGTCCTAAGAAGAGCATTAAAAATACCAGAAGAAAATGCAATACTGATAGACAAAACATACTATCGGTTGCGTCACGGCCTCTAATGTGTAAAAATATTCGATTTCCTAGAACATTTTTGTACAAATTAACTTGAGAACTTAAACTGTTGAGAAACTATCTGATATTTTTCTTCAATAATCACTGATGAATCATTTTGGTATGCTGTGTGCTTTGAGGCTTTACAAAGTGTGTTTTTACATTATCATATTTTATACTATTGAATATCCAAATTATTTAAGTTGCACAAATTTTCCAAAGATATGGCAACCCAAATATTTGCTTTAGTTCGTATATGAATGAATTTCTGTGTCCCAAACGTTTAGGCAGAACATTTATATACATACATACGTTTATCATAATAACTTATAAAAATATGAGCATCGTTTTCCCACTTTTTGGCATTTAATACCTACGTTCCCACTTCATTATACATACGTAAAGAATTTAACCTAAGCCAGATAAAAGTAAGCCCATATGGCCATACACTTACACACATACGAGGGTCCACCAATAAGTACTTAAAAGTAAGAAAAAAGTACATTTTCAACACGGCAATGCGCCAACTTATACTTCCGCCGTTTCAGTCATTCCAGATTTTCTACGTCAAGCCTTTTTCTCAATCGTCATTAGTCGAGCAAAGAATTTTATTGGTGCCATAGAGGCCTACTTTGAATACCTCCAGAAATCGTAGTTAAACAAGTGAAAATGTTGGATTATTACAGAGTCAAAGTTGCCTATATGGAGGAACAATTTGCAACTTTTTCCAAAGACTTCTGCTTCTGCCAAAGTATTTGTTAAACTCCCCTCGTAATCATCATGCTTCGGATTCTCAATTGTTACTCAAATTTACTCACCAACTTCCTTTGTACATTTTTTTCATATTTTATCATCTTCTTTTTTACATACGGTTCTGACCTTTTTACCAATGTCAAAATCGGGCATAATATGTATGCACACACCATAGCTAAAATATATGTACAAAAATTCTTACACACACCTACATACAATTGATGCAAATTTTGATCCCAAACACGTTTAAATAATTCATAATTCCTTATTGCCTTATGTCATTTACGTTTTACCTCACTTGCCGTGGTGTAGTGCAAACAAMAAAAATAACCACTTCTCTCCGTGTGCCATTTGAATATTTAAATATTTAAATATGTATAAGTCAACCATGGTATTCCTGCCACAACTCAACTACTCCGATATGCCCTGCGGCTTGTACATCGATATACGTTTGAATGCATGCTTGCCTTTAGCTCCAAACACAGTGCTCGCTAACTTGTAGGCAGCCTTTGCAGATGCGTGAAGTTGCATGTAAAATGTCCGATGGCAGTCACAGCGCCAAATGTGACCTACTTTCGAAGCCCGCATCGGTAAACATTGCTCGACGGGGTTAATCTAATGATGGTGAAGGTACGATTTTACTCGGCAGCTGCTCGCAATGGTGAGTACATAGCATTACGTAATTGAAAAGGAGAAACAGGATTGAAAAAGCAATAAAACTTTCTAATAAGTACATACTTTCTCTTAACGTTTTCTAGTCGGCTGATAGGGAAGTCGATGAGGACGATGAAAAGAATGACGACGACTAAGCCAGCGTAGGTGATGTTGAGGAAGGCTCTTATGATAGCGGTGATTCTCGCAATGGCGATGTCGGCTTGGCGATGTCGGCTTGGCGACATATTATAGGGAGCCTGCATTACAGTATGCTCATCGCTCATGGTCAGACATCTGCATCATGAAGAACTCTAGCAGCCGAATGCCGAGCGACTTCCTGGTGGCGGTGCTAGCTACGGTTATCGTAGTAGTTGTGATTCGAAGTCGGAGGACCTGCGGGTGATCCAAGGTGAGTGGAAAAATCTCTCAAGGCCTCTCTTAGTCTTGGTCTAGGTTTTTGTCATAGTTTTAAGTACGGCTCTCAGTTTAAAACACAATGTTTAAAGAGATCATTCTGTAGGTTCATTCATTCGTCCTTTTCCCATTCAAGTATAAACCTAGAGTCTGTTTGGTAAATAACTACCTCATATTCCACCTTACTTAATACCCACTGAATAAGTGACGGCATTAACGCTCTCCTACTCACCTTATCTTTCCAAAACCTTAATAACTTACCTAACTAAGAAACATTTTTAAATCTCTTCTTCCAATTCCGAACAAATCCAAGCATATACATTTCCGACACGTGCGTTGTCGACTCAGTCTAACCTTTTTGTTACTATAAATTGGACTACCTCTACCCCAAATTTGACGAACTTACACTGGATTACACAGTTGTCACCTACGGATTTCTTTGGTTATTCACCTTGTAGCACTTTCTACACCCCTAATGTCAGCTTCGTCTGACTCAACTGTCTGTTGATAAGCTTGAGTTGTTTGCAAAACGTTCGTGGATAAAACGCATGCTTAGTTCAGTGYAACGTCTACCACCATCCCCTTTGCTCTGTTACATAATCGGTATTAGACTCTACTTGACACACCAGAAGTGGCCATGTCACGCATTCAAAGACGTCTCCCGGGTCTTCTGTTTCCACTTCATTTCATCGCCACAGACCAGCAGRCATTTAATCGTTTAATCACTTGTGCGTTAGTTGCCATTCTTCAGTTTTTCTCTTCTATAGAAATAAAGTCTATGAAATAGATAGCAGAAACAGGTAAAAAGTATTAGTATGTATACTTGTATGTGTGTTTGGGTATRTTAAATACACTTATTTATATSCGTAAGGTAACTTCTTATRCTTACAGAAAATTAACTTTCTKCCGTATACTTCGATATATATKATATTTAGAATGTATATATATGTACATCTACTTTTTACGGTAGAGATCTTAAACCTATCTCGTTAATGACGGCGAAAGTTATCACATTCGCTTTATGACAGTGTGGTAAACAGGATAATAAATTAGAGTGTTAAACATGAAATCAGCGTTTATTTGCTCAAAGGCCCCTAAGCGTGTGTAGGTCATTGAGTGAGCGAGCAAATGCAATGATGTGGAACTACTAATGATCCTAAGTGTTTATACTCAAGGCCAAACACTTATTTAAAGATACAGAGGTATACTTTTGGAGCAAAAAATTATAGTCCCCTTATTGCCATTATTTACCAAACTTTGATGCTCCTAGTTGCTGCTCGGTCCCTCTCTCGTAACACATCAAGCGCTGCTGGTAAGCTTCATTATGCCAAAACGAATAGAGCAATTGGTGTGGTCAATTGGACACAATAATTGTGACAAGAAAATAATTTGCTATGCTGTTGAGATTAACGTTATTTTCTATTTTCTTTATGTAGTTTTTTCGTTTTCTGTGTAGTTCGTCAGTTGCAAGTGTCTATTGACCTAGTAATCATATGAATTGATTGGGAGGACAAAAAGAAAATAATAGCAAATCAATTACATGTAATTGACATATAACCAATTAAATGTATTGTTATTATGGGATTTTCTCAACTTGTCAAACTGTTCACTAATGCCTTTTTCGGCACCTCTTATGTGCCAACAATTTGAATTGTAATATAATAGGATTAATTAATTTATTTGTATAGCCTAGATATAGTTGTTAAATAAAAAATATTGTAGGACATTTATATTTGTAAGCATTTATTTCCATTTCACTGGCAGCTGGTTGTTTGTGCCAAACTCACCCTCATTGGTTCTATTCGATGATTTACTAATCGGATTCTTTCCTTCTTCATCTTCGCTTTGGCCTTCTATTTCTACTGCTTATCATTTCTCTTCTTCTTCTTCTTCTTCTTATCTTCTTTCTTTTTCATTTACTAGGTTCCACTTGGCTGACTCACTATCCAGAAGTTTATTAGCACTACAGTGCGTTTTTACTGGAGTCTCAGTGAAGCCGTATTTTGTGGTCTTCTGTACAGCCTCCCAATCCGAATATTCTACGTCAGGAAAGCTCACCTTAAGGCGTGAAGTAAAAAGTAGGTCGCCGTTGGGCTGTGGGTCTTATCAATACATAATTTCATCAGGATTTTTATGTCCTAGTGAAGCTTAAAATAAAATAATTAAAACGGAAACCTTTATTCGAAATGAGATTTAATATGGAAGATTATAAAAATATGCGACCTTGATTTTGGTCGGTATATTTGGATCACAGCTATGTACATGATAAAGTGGTTTGATCTAAACAAGTAAGTTCATAGTTTGTAGCGATGCCTGTGATAATTACCTTTGCCAAATAAACATGGAAATAGGCATACTCAAATGGACATAATTAAATCGGCTCAGCTCGCTGATAATTTTATATATAATTAACTTAATGGATCTCCGGCGTTAATTTTTGGTGTCACAAATTTCATAGAAACTTAAGGAGTTACATTTGTTTACTAGTCTTTTATTGTCTTATTAAATTTTGCAACACCTCTAGAATAGTGTGCTGAATTTTTGGAGATACAGAACTTGTGATATGATATGAGAACTTGTGCGCTCGAGGCTAGCTAAGCAAAAGTTACCGTCCTTACACGCCTTTTTCTCGAAACTCTGTTTTTAAAGTCGGTTGGCAAGATTTCTCGAAAACTGCTCATGCGATCTTTATTCAATTTTACACAGGTCTTTTAGTTGCAATTCTTAAAGACTTAGATGAAGAACTTTTTTCCGAATTTTACCCGCGGAAACCCATGTAACCCCTTAATATGTCCTTATCATATACTGTAATATATTATGTGGCATTTTTAAGTATGTAAATATATTGTGGTTAGATGAAAATATAAATATTGTTCATTAATTCAAACACTTTTTTTGTTTTTCTACCATCTTCTTGTTTTGAGAAACATTTTGCTTATGGTAACTCTACTCACATCTTTTATTCCATGATTTTTGCTATCTTCTGACAACTTCTTTTGTAATCGTTAAAATAATACATAGCTCACATAAAAATTTCCTCACTTRAACTCTAAATTAATACACTTTCAAAAATTTTTTTGGAAACTCTCTTTTTAAAAACAATTGGCAGATCCATAMATTTTTATCTTATATTTATATTATTATTGCTTTTAAAAAGGAATTTTTATTAATTCGCAATTTGATCAATTATTATGTTATGTGYTACTGTTTCAATGTGGTTACGACCTCGGCAGTTGGCACTAGCACTTTACTTTAATGCGACAAATGCTTCTTATTTCATGACATTTTTTGGCAACCTAAATAATTTGTTGGCATCATTCGTTCGTTAACTTTGTTTAAAAAGAATGAAATTAATCAGATTTTTCTTACATTTGTATTAATATATATGGTACAATAACAATAATAAGCAAGCGTGCAACATTTACACTAAACGAGTGCTTTAAGCAACAAAGAAAGTTCACTTCTTTGAAGACTTTGCAGTAAAATTTATGTATTATGAGCTACTTTACAATGATTACCCTAGATTACTGGAAAGCTAAGTTTTTGGTTTTTGGTTAGTAATGCAGACTTGCAAACTTTGCTTAAAATACGGAATCAATGGTATGTCCCTACTTTACTCCAATAGGTCTTTAACAATTTGGAGCATGTGAGAAAATTTTGAAAAGCATTAGAGTTACCATTTTACGAATATACTGGTATGAAATGCGAGTTTTTTTGTGAAAATCAAATACCAATTATGAATTAGAAAGTAAAAAAATTCAGTGTGTTGACCATTGCTTTTCTATTTCTATACCCTGAACAGGGTATATAAAATTTATCACGAAGTTTGTAACCCCCAAAAGAAAGGGTCGAAGACCCTAAAAAGTATGTATATAATTGAACAGTATGTTGAGCTGATTTCGATTTAGCCATGTCCGTCTGTCTGTCCATCTGTCTGTACATGTAGTATACGAACTAGTCCCTCAGTTTTTAAGATATCGTTTTGAAATTTTGCTAACGTTATTTTGTCTCCAAGAAGCTGCTCATTTGTCGGAACTGCCGATATCGGACAACTATAACATATAGCTGCCATACAAACTAAACGATATGAATCAAGTTCTTGTATGGAAAACTTCCACATTTGACAAGATATATTCACATAATTTGGTATAGATTATTTTCTGAGCCAACAATCTAATCTCCGAAGAAATTGTTCAGATTGGATTACTATAGCATATAGCTGCCATATAAACTAAATGATCGAAATTAAATGCTTTCATGGGAAACTTCCTCATTTGAGATATATTCACGAAATWTGGTATATATTATTTTCCAAGGCAGAAATGTGATCTCCGAAGAAATTTTAGAGATCGGCTTACTATGGCATACAGCTGCCATACAAACCGAACGATAGGAGGCCTGTATGAAAAACTTTGGCATTTGACGTGGTATTTTCACGAA